CTCACCACTGGTCCTGAAGGGATCATCTACCCTGGATTCTCTGTTTCCAGTTCCTATCTGTACCAGTGTACATCCTCTGGTCTAGCGAGATTTGTAAGGTAGAATTGGTATCATGATAGTGGGGGTGGGGGGAGTAAACATTTAAGAACTAGACAAAAGTTGTATGTTTCACCATTGCTACACTGCACCCTGACTGGCTCATCTCCTCCCCGTAACCCTTCTGTAAGGGGATGTCCAATTGCCTACAGATGGGCTTTGGGTCTCGACCCTGCACTCCCCCTCATTCTCAATGATTTTTTGTTCTGATGATGCCTGATACCTGATCCCTTTGACACCTCGTGATCGCAAAGGCTAGTGTACTTCCTCCATGTGGGCTTTGTTGCTTCTGAGCTAGATGGCCACTTGTTTACCTTCAGACATGGTGCTATTCTTATGACTCCGATAGCAAACATCAATCAAGCCAGGGGAAGATGCCATCATCACCTCACCCAAAAAAAGCTCGTCAAGTAAAATCAAAGATCAAGATGATACTCACTTGTTTTTATGATGTCAGGGGGGTAGTGCATTTGCAGTTCATTCCACCAGGTCATACTGTTAATCAAGCTTTCTATTTAGAGGTTCTGAAAAGATTGCCTAACAGTGTGCAATAAAAAAAAGGCCTGATTTGTGGCAGATGGGGGACTGGTTTTGCCACCACAACAATGAACCTGCTCACACAGTCATCTCAATGTGTCAATTTTTGGCAAAACAGCATGCCTCTCTTGCCCCATGCATCTGAGTCACCTGACCTCACTCAGTGCAACTTCCTTTTGTTTCCATGAACGACGAGAGACATGAAAGGACAGCGATTTGACTATGTAGAAGATGTAAGAAAAAAACGAGGGGGGTGATGTCAGCCAGCCAAACAGATGAGTTTGAAAAATGTTTCCAAGAATGGTACCACAGATCTGAAAAATCTATTAAGTCAAATGGAGAGTACTTTGAACGTTATAAGGTTGTTTTGCAATGTGGAGGAGAAAACGGGACTGACAGTTCTGGGGGGACATGGGAGAGGGGAAGGTGGGAGAAAGGAAGTGGTGTTAACAAACCCAGGGACAAGGGAACAAAAAGTGATCCAAAATCAGTGGCAAGGAGGGTGTAAGAGGCCTGATAGCGCTTGATCAAGGGCAATGTAAACGAGAGAAATTATTGAAACTTCAAATGAAGGTTAAGTATGACAGTGGGATAAGAGGAAAGTAAAAGGAAATGGAGGAAAGAATTAAGAGGCAAAGGGCATTTATAGAGGTCTAAATACAGGTATGTACATATGTAAATATATTTATATATGATGATGGGAAATAGATCTATGTGCATATATTTGTAGGTTTAGTATTAAGGTCACAGATGGACACTGGGCCTCCACTCAAGTACTCCTTCAATGCAAGAACACTTTGCTCTATTAAACTGGCATTCCATGATGCTCACCTTCCCGACATGATTGCGGAAAACAAAGCAGGTGCATAAGCAAATGTAGTGAAGAAAGTGGATGGTGCTTGGCTATCAAAAGATATAGCGTTTGGGGTCTTAAACAAGCGGCCATCTAGCTCAGAAGCAACAAAGCCCACATAGAAGCACACCAGCCTGTGTGATCATGAGGTGTTAAAGGGATCAGGTATCAGGCATCAAAGAACAAAATATCTTATCATTGTGAATGAGGGGCAGGGAGGAGCGGGGAACCAAAGCCCTTCTGTAGACAAGTGGACATCCCCTTACGGAAGGGTCGCAGGGAGGAGACAGTGTAGCAATGGTGAAACATACAATTTTCCTCTAGTTCTTAAATGCTTCCTCCACCCCATTATCATGATCTCAATTCTACCTTACAAATCTGGCTAGACCAGAAGATGTACACTGGTACAGATAGGAAGTGGAAACACAGGGAATCCAGGACAGATGAACCCTTTAGGACCAGTGGTGAGTGGCAATACTGAGAGGGTGGAGGGAAACTTGGGTAGAACGAGGGAACCAATTACAAGGATCTACATATAACCTCCTCCCTAACGGATGAACAAAAGAAAAGTGGGTGAAGGGAGACGTTGGACAGTTTAAGATAGGACAAAAAATAATTTATAAATAAACTAACAAGGGTCCATGAGGGAGAGGGGAGGGGGGGGGCGGGGAGGGAGGGGGAAAAATGAGGAGCTGATACCAAGGGCTCAAGAAGAAAGCAAATGTTTTGAGAATGATGAGGGCAACAAATGTACAAATGTGCTGGACACAATGGATGTATGTATGGATTATGTTAAAAGTTGTACGAGTCCCCAATAAAATGATTTTTTAAAAAAACAGCACTAAATATAAAGCTTTTGGGGGGGGGGAATTGTTTTTTTTTTTGGTACCCTCTCATATGTTTGTGATAAAGCAAATATTTTGCACCCCCTGGACAGTTAAATATTTCATTTACAAGTAGCCTTTGTCTGACACCCACCACTGACCTGTCAGTTGGTTGTACTGTGGTGGCTTTTGTGGTGCTGTGATCCCTAGAAGCTATGCGCTACATTTCAAATGCCAGAATTACCCAAAGTGAAAAGGTTCAGTGGAGCTCACGTCAGAGGAAGTAGCTCCTGAAAACTTCATGCACAGCATGTAATTGTTTGATTTTAAAAAAGCAAAAAGCAAACCAAACTCGGCACCATTGAGTTGATGTTGACTCAGTGACCCTATAGGACAGGGTAAAAGACTAACAATTTATGAGTAGAAAGCCCTAGGTGGGGCTAGTGGTTTTGAACTGCTAACCTTGTGGATCACAGCCCAATGCATAATCACTATGGTCTATTAAGTGATGAAGGCCTAATAAGTGAAAGCAGAATATTGTCAGAGTTAGTGCTGAGGGACTGGGCCCATTGCTAGACTAGTGACCTGTTCATTGCAAACACCTTTTTCAACACCATCAATGAATGGTGACTAGACACACTGACTTCTCCAGATGGAACACACAAAAATCAAACTGACTACATCTGTGGGAAGAGATGATAGAGAAGCTCAATATCAGTAGCTAAAACCAGGCCAGGGGCTATCTGTGGAACAGACCATCAACTGCTCATATATAAGTTCAGGTTGATGAAGAAGACAATGAAAACAAGTTCATGAGAGTCAAAATACGATATCCCACTCAAATTCTGAGGACATGTCATGAACAGATTTAATGCATTGAACACTAATGACAGATTTGATGAGCTGTGGGATGACATCAAGAACATGAAGAAAGCAAAATATTATTCTGAAACAGGAAAGAAACAATCAAAGTCAATGTCAGAAGAGACACTGAAACTTTTTCTTAATCATAGAGTATATAAAGCAAATGGAATGATGAATTCAAAGAAATTAATAGAAAATTTCAAAGGGAAGCTCAAGAAGACAAATTAAAATATTATCACAAAATGTTGTACAGACTTAAGAGTTAGAAACCCAAAAGGAAAAAACAAGCTCAGTGTATCTTAAATGAAAAGAACTGAAGAAAAAGTTCAAGCTTCCAGTAGCAATCTTGAAAGATTCTATGAGCAAAATATTAGTTGCAGGAAGCATCAAAAGATGGAAAGGTTACCCAGAGTCACTTTACCAAAAACGAACTAGTTGATATTCAACCATTTCCGGAAGTTACATATGAACGAGAACCAATGGTACTGAAGGAAGTTCAAGCTGTACTGAAAGCATTAGTCCAAAACAAGGCTTCAGGAATTGATGGAATACCAACAGAAATGTTTCAACATAAGCTGATGAAAAAGCCTTGGAACCACTTACTCAACTATGCCAAGAGATTCGGTAGACAGCTACTTGGCTAACTGACTGTTAAGAGATCCATATTTGTACCTAATAAAATAAAGATGACTCAACAGAATGCTCAAATTATAGAGCAATTGATATCACATGCAAGAAATCATTTGCTGAAAATCACCCATGATTACTGCTGTATAATGACAATGAGTGATCACTGGTTCGGGCCAGACTCAACAGAGGACGTGGAGTAAGAGCTATCACATGGATCTTGGTTGAAATCAGAGAATACCAGAAAGATGTTTACTTGTGCTTTATTTGCTATGCCAACACATTCGATTTGTGTGGATCATAACAAATTATGCATAACCTTGAAAAGAATGGGAATTCCAGAGCACTTTATTGCGCTCAAGTAGAACTTGAACATGGATCAAGAGGCAGTTGTACAAACAGAACAAAGGCATACTTCGTGTTTTTTTTTAAATCAGAAAAGGTGTGTGACAGGGTTGTATCAACCCACCATATTTATTCAATCTGTATGCTGAGCAAATAATCAGAGAAGCTGGATTATATGAAGAAGAATGTGGTATACAGGTTAGAGGAAGGCTTTTTAACAACCTGCCATTTGCAGATGACACTTTGCTTGCTGAAAGTGGAGGACTTGATGCATTTGTTGATGAAGCTCAAGGTTTGCAGCCTTCAGTATGGATTACAACTCAATGTAAAGACCCAACCCCCCACAGCTGGACCAAATGGAGACAAAACTGAAGTTGTCAAGGATTCTCTCTCTTTTGCATCCACAATCAACACTCATGGAAACAGCAGTTAAAGTATCAAGACACACTTCCTGGGTAAATCTGCTGCACAAGACCTCTTTAGAGGGTTGAAAAGCAAGGGTGTTACTTTAAGGACTAAAGTGTGCCTCACTCAAACCATGCTATTTTCAATGGCCTCATTTGCATGTGACAGTTGGGTATTGAAAAAGGAAGATTGAAGGGTTGCTATGTTTGAAGCAAAGAAGAGGAAGACCTTCCATGAGATGGAATGGCACTGTGGCTGCAACACTGGGCTCCAGTCAGGAACAGTTGTGAGGATGGCGCAGGATGGGCAGTTCGGGGCAGTGTTTTGTTTGGTTCTGCATGGGGGCATTAAGTCTAGGTGGTAACTAACAGCAACAACAATGTATCTGACACACAAATGTTGTGGGTTTTTTCCCAGTTACATATTTAAAGAAAAAGCCCAATCACCAATTATATATAAAGTATTTATTCTTATGAACATATTTACCTAAAAAATTTACTGAAACGCTGAACAAATAATCCCCTTTTAAAATTTCTTAGGAGCAGAGGGTTATTTATTACTACAGTTAAAGAATAAAACATTTTACATATGAAAGTCAAGATGGACACATTTTAATATAAATGGCAGCCTTGTTAAGAATTTTTTGTCCTGTGAATGAATTTTCAGCTTTATGTTAAGTAAAAATTTATAAGGTGCTCATGAAGTAATTAAACTTTTCAAATTCATCTTATAAACAAGTAAAAAGGCACCTCTTATATTTTAAGGATAACTACAGCAACCCCAACTTTAACTTTAATGGACATTATACTACAAGGAGCCGTGGTGATGCTGTCATGTTAAGTGTTGTTGGAGTGTTAAACCTTAAGTCCATTGGTTCAAATCCTCCAGCAGCTCTGCAGAAGATGAGGTTACCCTGCTCCTGTAATGATTTATAGCCTTGGAAACCCTCTGAGTTGGAGCTGACTCGATGGCAATGGGTTTGATTTGGGTTTTGGATTTTAGTACTGTGGCTATTATGCATATACAGTGAGACATTAACACTCTTGAACAGTGGGAATTGTCAACTCCAGCCTGTGGCATGCTCCCATAGTACCTCAGGACAGAAAAGGGTGATCAGTCATACCTGTCCAATACAGCCTGTCTGCCATAGTACAAAATTCAATAAAGCTATCAAATTCCAGGATAACACATAATTTATAAATGAATTTGCATATTCAGAAACCTGTATAATATTCTAACAATTATTTTAAAATAAAAAGTGTATTTAGCATTAAAGGAAAATAATGAATTGAAAAATAGAACCACAACAGTGGCTGAGATTCAGTATTTGGTATAACAAAAATTATTTCTCAAAATACCTATAATTTCTTAAAACATAATAGAGTTTTCCTTAGCCTAAACTCAATTCAATGTTATTCCTGTGATATGATCAAAAGAGAGGAGAGTGTACAGGATGAAAGACACAGCTACAAACAACAGTTAGTTTTATAGAGCTGTGGAATGGCAAACAGATGTTCCTGAAATACTGGTACAGGAAAACTAAGTCCATACAAAGTTTTCCCCTTTGTTTCAAATTGGCATTGATCTGCTATTTACAGTAGTTTGTAAAAATAAAAAAAATTATAAAAACTGAATGAGGTTGTTTCTACATTTAACTTAAATATATACAGACCCACTTCATCTGCAAAAATGCAATACTAAAGTAACACTAATACTGAAATACAGGTAATCAAAGATCCCAAAAGCAAGGATAACAAGGAGTCATCATCATGATAATCTGGTAAATATTGCACACTTCTTGTCACTTGTTGCTATGATCTTCACAGATCCAGTTGTATAAGGGATCCTTTATGGCTTCTGGCTGTCCCAGTCATTGGAAGCAGTGTTGCTTTGTAAGTCCCATAACAGTGAGAGCAGATTGTTACTGAACATGAGGCCTAGGTTTCAAAATCAGTTTTCCTGTCTGTAAAAATGAATAAATAAATACATTCAATCTACAGCTATATTAAAAACACATTTATCTATACATCTTAAAGGACGTTTGCAGAGAATCAGATATTTTCTAGTTAAAGCACTTAGGTTTTCAAAGTTTTTTGTGTGGGATTTTTTCCAAAATGCTTATTTTAAAGCATATATTAGCTTTAATTCAACAACAAAATAACAACTCAACCACAAAATGGGTAATGAAGAGAACTTTCACCAAAAAGAACATCTTAACAGCCAACAAATAAATAAAAAGCTGCCCACAGTCATTAGCCATTAGAGATGTAAACAAAGGCTACAATGATATATGCTATCTTACCCTGGCTAAAATGACACTGATTGAATCAGATAGCAAAGGTTGGTTAGGCTGTGGGAAAATTGGAACCCTTATCCATTATTGGTGGGACTAAAATAGTCCAATCACTACAGAAGATGGTAAGGTACTTTCTTAAAAACTCAGAACGACCCTCTGACCCAGTAATCCCACTCCGAGGTATTTACCCTAACCGCCCCTCCCGAACAGCACTGCCATTGATTGGACATCGCAGAACAGCACCAGGCAACAGAATAGAATTACTTCATAGGTTCTGAGGCTGGAAGTCTACAGAAGCAGAGTCTCATCTTTCTTTTGTGGCGCTGCTGGTTTGGATTGCTGGTCTTGCAGTGAGCAGTCAACATTGAAGCCACTGCGTCACCAGGTCTCTGTGGTGTATATAACTTCTCCCCGCAAACAAAGGCTAAAAACCAAGTCCACTGTCATCAAGTCAATTTTGACTCAGCAACCCGATAGGACACAGTAGAACTTCCCTTGTGGGTTTCTGAGGTTGCAAAAGTCTTTACAGGAGCCAAAAAAAAAAAAAATCATCTTTCTCCGACTGGACTTCTGGTAGATTTGAACTGCTGACCTTGTGGTTATTAGCAATGCAACATGTGATCTACTATGCCACCAGGGCCCCTCCAACCAAACCAAACTCACTGTCATCAAGTTGCTTCCAACTCACAACGACCCTATAGAACAGAACAGAACCAGGCTAACACTATGCAGGCAGAAAGCCACATTTTCAACCATGGAGCAGTTGGTAGTTTCAAATTGCTGATCTTATAGTTAACAGCCACTGTGTAATCCACCATCTAATGTGTAATCTGCTATGCCAGCAAGGTTCCTAAATATGCCTTAGAGACCTAAAATAACAACATGAACAGGCAGTTTTCTTCTTAATACTAAATAAATGAAACTACTGAAGTACCCATTGAGAGGACAGCATAAGCCAACTGTGGTACACACACACACACACACACACAAACACACACACACACACACACACCAGAATACCATCATACAACCATAAATAACAATGAGTCCATAAAACCTCTTTTCATATTAACAGACCTGGAAGTCATAATGTTAAATGAAATAAAGCAAGCATGTAAGGACAACTATTATGTTCTCTTTCTTTCTATAAGAAGACAAAATCGAAAAATCAACCTCACTGCCATGGAGTCAATGTCAACTCCTAGTGACCCTACAGGACAGGGTAGAACTGCCCCCGTGAAACTCCAAGCTGGTAACTGTTTACAGGAGTAGAAAACCCTTTCTCCCACAGAGAAGCTGGTAGTTTTGAACTGCCGAACTCTTGGATCGCAGCCTAACACGTAACTACTACACCATTGAGATACCAATGTCTGGCGGGGGTTAACTGGGGTGTGTTAATCCCAGGATGAGAGGAAGTATGATTTATATCACAGACACTACTTTTGATGATGAGAAAGGTAGCACTATAGCTATATTGAGCACAGTACAACAAAAGTGAAAAAAAGTGAGTACATGTGGATGTGTACAGGCAAATTGATATGCAGGTAAATACAGGTGTGTATTTATGGGAAAATAGATGGAAATACCTATAAAACAAAAAAACCACTGAGTTGATTACACTCACGAGGACCTTATAGAACAGAGTAGAACCATTCTTTAAGGTTTTCCAAATGTGTAGGTATGTGTAAACGTGCACACACATTCACCGAACACAAAAATAAAGAATCAAGTCTCGATGAGCCACAACTTCATCTACCCATCAGACTAGAAAAACCTGATTGGTGCCTGGCTACCACTGCTGACGATCATGACCAGGGTCACAATAATTGCTCCTCAGTAGAATAGATTATGACCAGGGTCACAATAATTGCTCCTCAGTAGAATAGGAGAAAAAATGGTAGAACTAAGAGGACTCATTGAGACTATCACCCTAAGACACTCTAAATCTAGAACTGAGCCTATCCCAAGATTATCTTTTATCAAAATAGTAAAATGACACACAAAATAAAGTTACCCATAAGACTGGCGCCCTGCCATCAGTATCAGATCCCTACCATCAGTATGAGATCAGTAATTACTCAAAAGGAAAAATAAGAAGATAAAACAAGCAAACAAAAACAAAATCCACTGCCATGGAATCAATTCAGAGTAACCCTAGAAGACAGGGGGTTTTTGAGACTAAATCTTTGTAAGAGCAGAATGCGCCTCTCTCCCCGGCAGAATGGCTGATTGGCTCAAACTGCCAGTCTTTTAGTTCACAGCTCAATGCTTAATGTGCTGCACCATCAGGGGTCCTTTGAGAAGAGGGTAGGGAATTACAGTACAGGAAAGGGAACAAACACAAAGAGAATAAATGCAACTAATGTCAATGAACAAATTAGGTGGCAATTGTTAAACGTGAACCTTAATTTCCCATGTAAACTTTCACAAAGAGCTAAATAAAATACTATTGAAAAAAATTTACAAATATAGAGATAATCCCTTTCTACCTATTGGTTACCTAGAAATCATGCAACTGATCCACTGAAATAAAATGCTACCTTTTATTGATTTATTCATGCTCTTTACCAAAGGAGGTTTACGAAACAAACTATATATTCGAGTAAGATAAAAAATGTAATGTCAAGTTGAAAAGTAAACCAGTTAGTTATTTAAAAAAAACGAAAAACTTCCAGATGCCCTAAAACATCTTAATAGTACAATAATAATGTTTAGTGTAAAACAAAAAACAAAAAAAAACCATGTTGGAGCAATAGATACTGTATATTGCTAATGTTCAGTTTAAGTTGGCACAACTCATCTATAGAGCCAACTGAATCATATGTATACACACATACGTTATACATAAATGAGAGCTTCAGAAAATTCATGGGGAAATTCCATTATCATTTAATAATTCTATTTTTCAAAGACCTTTTGAAGCCCCCCCCCCCCGCCGCCACCCCACCCCCCACACACACACACACCATGCATCCAAAAAATTAAATCTGAGAGACCAATCCTTGGAGAAGGACATTATGTTTGGGAAAGTAGAGGGGCATCAAAAAAGGGGAAGGCTCTCCAGGAGATGGACTGACACAGTGGTTGGAATAATGGGTCAGGCATAAGAACAATGGTGAGGGGCGCAGGACCGGGCAGTGTTTCATTCTGTTGTGCGTAGGGCTGCTACGGGTCAGAATCAGCTTGACGGCACATCACAGAAATCTGAAGGTAATTACATATGAGAGTAAAGACTAAGTATAATTAAATACAAGTGTTTTTAGTTCATTCAACTGTGATTGAGTGCCTACTATGTGTGCTGGGCCTTGTGCTAAAACCTAGAGGTTTAATAATAAACAAAGTTCCCACCATCAGGGAGCTTAAGTTTTAATACAGAAGACACACATTTAGACATATGCTGTGGAAAATGTGGAAGCTATCAGTCCAATAAAGGGCTAAATTATGGTATATCCATACAATGAGATCATATTAAATTAAATAAAATGGAAGACTAATTGAGATAATGCAGGCAAAGGAATATGCCTAAGGACTGGCATGTATTTGTTATTGTTAGGCGACCCTATGTGACAGAATAGAAACTGCATTGGGTTTTCATAGAGAGTCTTTATGAAAGTAGATAAGCAGATCTTTCTCTTATAGAGCCACGAGATAGGGTCAAATCACCCACCTTGTAGTTAGCAGCTAATCACAGTTACCAGCTAATCACTGTACCAGCACAGCTCCTTAGCACGTTGCAGGCTCAATAAATGGCAACTATTATTAAATTCTGTTGACTAAAAGGCACATAACTCACTGCTACAGAGTTGATTCTGATTCAGGGTGACCTTGAGATAGGAGAGAACTGCCCAGTAGGTTTATAAGACTGTTAACTCTTTTTTTTTTTTTTAATCGTTTTATTAGGGTTGTCTGTAACTCTTTACGAGAGTAGAAAACCTCTTCTGGTAGTGATCTTGCAGTTACCAGGCCGAAGTTTAACTGTTACGCCACCAGTGAGATTTTTGCAAAACTCACTGCTATGGAGTCAGTTCTGACATAATGATCCTATAGGGCAGGGTAGAACTGTCCATGAGTTCCCGAGACTGTAACTGGTTATGGTGGGAGTAGTAGGATTTTTAGGTGGTTTTATTTATTTTTATTTTCTCTAATTACCTCTCTTGATTCACACTCTAACTCAAATTTTCGTCATTTTATTTTCTATCAATCTTTGATGTTTTGGCAAATTTTTTCTACACTGGGCTGCTAAGTGCAAGGTCAGCAGTTTGACTACCAGTGGCTCCTCAGGGGGCTTTGTGCACCGGGAAGGGTTAGCAGCCTCAGAAACAGACAGGGGCAGCTATCTCCTGTTCTACAGGGTAGCTATAAGTTGGCATTGATCCGACAGCGGTGAGGTTTTTTTATTTGCTCAGTAAATATTTGTCATTGAGGTGTCAAATTGTCTGTGTAGTTTTGAGGAATGCAATGCGTCCACATCAAACATCGGAGCACCTCCACTGATCAGAAAGTTCCTTCATGCCTCCTTCCAGTCTGTTAGCTACCCTCCTTTTCATAGGGACATAACGACTTTTCCAACTTCTCTTACCCTGGATTATTTCTCCTTGTGTTTGATCTTTAATTAAATCATACAGTATGTTTTTGACATCTGGCTTCTTTCACTCAACCTCTTTCATCCATGTTACATGATTCAGTAGCTTGTATCTTTTTATATTGCTAGTATTCCATTTATGAATATAAATGGAATGCCTCACAATTTCGATTGGTTATTTGTAAACGCTATTTGTTATTTTGGTTGGTTATTGGTGAACATTATTTGTTTATGGTTTTAATCTACTTTCGATGTATTTTTTATTACATGAGTCATTAATAAAACTTCATAAAAATTCAATAGGCTAAAGTCACACTTTCCATTTACCTCAAGTTTGACTCCACTCTTGAAAAGAAACCAGTTTGGGCATGAATTCTTCTACATATTCTATGGCTTTATAGTTACCGAAAGACCGAACTCACTGCTATCTAGTCGATGCCGACTCATAACACCTACTCTGCGCGTTTCTGAGACGGTAACTGTTTATGGGAGTAGAAAGCCTCGCCTTTCTCCCATGGAACTGCTGATGGTTTTGAACTGCCAACCATGCATCTGCTTAACCACTAAACCATCGTCCTAAGGCTTTATATTTACATATATAAATAAAAATACGGTTGTATGACCTGCAAATACATTTGCAGGTGAAATATGTTACTTGGGATAGGTTTCAAATCATTCTGGATAAATGGATACGGCACGGGTATAGATGACACAAGAATAGCCATGCTAACACAGGCTCACTCTGAGTCGGAACTGACCCATCATCACCTAACAACATACTTTACGTGCTCACCAGCCACTTAGGAGACTTCTGATTGTTCTACACCCATGACAAGGCTGCTATCTGACTTGAAACTTAACTATCATAATGGGTGTAAAGTTGTATCTCACTGTGGTTTTGAATTTCATTTCCCCTGATGACTAATGAGGTCCATTCTGTTTCTTACTGATTTTTAATAAACCTTAAATTCTTCTGAATGCTATCTTGTAATCATCTTTCTTACAAGATGTAAATACTTTCTTCTAATCAAATTTTCTTCCATTTTGCTGAACATAAGTTTTACATTTAGTACAATCAAATATATCCTCCTTATTCCATTATAGCATTTGTTTCGTGTCTCCAAAAGGTATTTTTCTAGCTAGAGTTTATATTTTTCTATATTTACCTCTAATGGTTTAAAGATACATGTGTTTTTAAATATACTTAATTATTTGAGATTACTTGAAATTATTTGAAATTATTCATCTAATTGATCTAAAGTAACTATTTTTTAATTCCCCTAGATGAAGAACCAATTGTCTCAACACTACTAAATCGCCTGCCCTACTGACTTGAAGTACCACTGAATTAAAAAAAAAAGAAATATGTATTCAATCTCTATCTTTTCATTGACCCAACTGTCTTCCTACCCTACTCCTTTACTTTTTGCTATTTATTCTGAATTTCTATAGTAAATAGGTATTACTAGCTGAATAATTCTTTAAATTGAGACAATAATAATTTTTTTAAAGAAAATTACCAATCAAAATTGTAAGACATCCCATTCATAATGCACAGGTACATGATATGCTTTGTACCACAGAAGCCATACATCTATAGTTGCTAAATTAATTGGACTCTATGTTCAAGTCTCTTATGTACAATAATAATAATAATAATAAACAAGCCCACTGCTATCAAGTGGATCCCGACTCATGAAACCCATATACAACAGAGTAGACCTGCTCCCCCTAGGGTTTCTGAGTCTGTGGTTTTTTTATGGGAGCAGCCAGCCTCATCTTTCTCCCATGGAGTGGCTGGTGGGTCTAACCACTGACCTTGCCGTTAGTTCACTGTGTAACTCATTATACACCTGGGGATATAACCGAACACTGTTAGATAAGTGAAAGTACTTTACAAAATCAACATCCATATAACAAATTTTGTGCAATATCCCCGGTATTTAAAAGAACCCAGATAAGTTTAACTATAAGATATATAACTATTTTATAAGTCATTAAAAAAAAGTAAAGCTGTCAACTCTTATCGGTAAGCACCATTAGATGCAGCTCAATCTCAGAGATTTTAAAATGTAAAAATGCACTAGGATATATGTAAATTATATTCCTAGTACTAGTTCCGAAGACAATGTTTTCATAAAGTTAAATATTTCAGTCTTTTCATATATACATGATTTTCTAATGAAGAAATACTTACATCATCACACGACATATTATACTCTGCTAATATAGTTCGACATCGAGCAGCTATACTGAATAAACATGGTCAAGGGAAAACATCATTTCAGTAGACAAGTTTTTAACAATCAGCTGTGTCAGCTAGAAAATGCTTTAATTTGGTTGTGAAAAGAAAACTCCAATCAGTGGTAAAGGATACATTGATGGTGCGACTACTCTTTTATGTATTCCAGCAAAAAACAAGCCTATGAGAGTGATACAGCTAATGGTGAAAAATGGATGATTCCACAGGGAGGTGAAGAAAGACACCTGTAGTAAAAGAAAGATTCGACAGATATCACAATAGCAAATGTCTTAAAACAATATCGATATAAGCAATCTTTCTGTCATCTAAATTATCAGAATTTGAAGATTTCTAATAAGTTTCTATATTAATATGCATAAAAATAAAAATATGTTTTTATAGCAAAGTAATGTGGCATTATTCCTCCCACCAGCTGCTGAAAATATTCACATCATTATAAATCCATTCCTATATTAAAATACATCCGTACCAAAAACATGTAACATCAATATGGAACAATAGAAGAAGCACAAGACTATATCAGCGCCACAAAGCAAGAACACTGTCTTGCTCACTGCTATTGTCCCAATATTTGAAACAACACTTTGGCAAATACAGGTACTTAACAAGTATTATTGAATGAAGATGAGACCTTGTTCTCAATGAAAGTACAAGTCAAATAATGTGGGGAGGCGTCAAAAAATTCATGCAAAAATTCCATACATTTTAATTCCATTTTCTCACAAACTTTTGAAATTTCTTATAGTTACGTTACTTCCCTAATAGAAAGCACCAGGAAGGGTGGTTTGGGAAACTCTTGTCATCATAATTAACTCAATTTAATCTTCATTTCCTGCTATACTTCCACATACAAAGGGGCTTCAAAAATTTTATGGAAAAATTCCATTGTATTTAAATTCTGTTTTTTTAAGGAACCTGTAAAAGTCCCATTATTTACACTATAAATCAGCATTCATTGGGTGGTCACTGCCAAACTCACTGGTTTCTAATATTTATGCTACAACATGGTTAGCTCCTATCTGTCTTTATAAGAACTCAATTCTGCAAGAGCCTTCTTTGTAGAAGCAAAAACATAAGTTTGGTTTTTAAAGCTACTTGTGATTTAGATGTTCACTGGAATGGGACATTTAAGCAGGGGAAAAAAGAATTAGTTGCTATCAATAAGAAATTAAGAGTTCAGCACTTAGTGCTGGGTCCATGGCCACAACCTGGATGGGCGGAAACTCCGTAACTCTGCTGCCCTATGCCTTGCTATGTACTCTGGGCCCAAACTCCTCCCTGGAAGAAGCACACTGACTGACCTCAGCTACTATAAACAGGCATGCACTGCTTCTGGATCAGCTACTCTACCATCAGGTAACAGGGATCAGCAAAAACCCCAACTAGGTTCTGCGTCTCACTGTTTCAGACCCCACCACATCAACTCCATAGCTGGCAGTCGGTTGTTCTGGTCCCCCTAGTCTTCTTTGTTTTGTTTTTACTTTACTTTCCCAGGTTTTCAATCCTTTCTGCTTTTCTTTTTCGGTTCTTTTCTACTGTTTCTCTTTTCTTATATTCAAACCCCACCCCCCATACCTCCCCTTATCTCTATGTTTTTCTTTACTATTCTCTTACCCAGTGACTGCTCCCTAGGCTTATTTTCTTTGATATTTTTTCTTTCTCTTGACTCTTGTTTTTCTTTTCCTTTTTTTAAAAAAAGGTATTAAATTATTTTCTCTTGTTGTTGTTCCCTTGCTTTTTACTTGTTAGTTTATTTTTAAATTATTTCTGTTTTATTCATATGAAGATAAAAGACAGAATAGTTCAAGCAAATGACCAATACAGAGCCAGAAGCCCTTTCTCTTAAATAAAAGGCATTGACACTAATTTATAAGTTATTCAACAGAGGTACTAACTCAGTTGACAGACTGATAAAAAGATCAAGAAAGCCACAGACAAAATAAAGGGAAACACAGAAAAATAGTAAAAAACTGTAGAGAAATTCAGGAATATAAGAAAAAACTAACAAAATAAATGAAAAATCAGAAACCATCAAAACCAGCACAAAGAAATCGAGAAGATTAGTGCTAAAGTGTGTTGACAGAGCAAAGGAGCAGAACTCACTCAATGGAGGGCAAGTTAGCAGGCTTGAAGACAAATCTTAATAATAATCTGTTAGGCAGTATTTCTCAAATTGGGTAATACCTCCCCCTGGAGGAAGGTGGAAAGATATAGGGGGTTGAAAAAGCAAATACCTACACTTTATCTTGAATTATGGACTATTATACAAGTTTTTAATTGCTAAGGGGTGCTAATATTTTTTTTCTGAAAAGGAGTCTGTAGGCCAAATAAGTTTAGGAACCTATGTGCTAAAGGAACACACGAGGGGGGAAAAAAAGAAAAAAAAATCTGGACAGTGCCTATGAATTATGTAAGATGGTTCACCATTAAAAAAGCAATCAATGTAATTTACTGTATAAATAAGACAGCAAAAAAGACATGATCATATCAACAGATGCAGAAAAAGTATGTGACAATAACTAACACCAATTTCTGATAAAAACACTCAACAAAATAGGAACAGAAGTGAAACATCCCAATAAAGGCCATATACAAAAAATCCAACATCACACTCATGGGGAAAAAACTGAAACATTTCTGAAAACGGGAACTAGACAAGAATGCTCCTTACCGCCACTCAACATTGTGCTGGAAGTCTTGGCCAGAACCATTATAATGCCAAAATAAATCAAGGGAATACACTTGGGCAAAGAAGTGAAGCTCTCACTATTTACAGATTATATGACTTTATAGAGAGAGAGCCCAAAGGACTGTGAAAAAAGACTCTTGGAAACAATTGAGGGATTTGGTAAAATAAGAGGATACGTGATTAACAAGCCAAGAAAGTACTGAAAAAGACCTGAAGAAAACAGTAACATTTTTAATAGTCACATGAAAGATAAAATACCTAGGAATAAACCTAACAGAAGAAATAAGACCTGGAAAAATAAAACTACAGAACATTATTACAAGAGACCCACACAAATGGAAGAATATTCCATGTTCATGAATAGGAAGACTTATTGTGAAAATGTCAATACATCTTCAGAAATATACAAATACAACACAACTCCAATCCAAATCCCAACATCATTCTTTACGGAAATGGAAAAACGAACTATCAAGTTCATATGGGGAGAAAAGGTGCGGAATAAGCAAATGACTTTTCAAAAAGAGCAAAGTAGGAGGTTTGCACCAACATCAAAACCTATTACACAGCCAAAGTAGTCAAAACAGCTGGGTATTGATACGATAGATACAAAGACCAATGGAATAGGATAGAAAACCCAGAAATAAACGCATGTACCTAGAGGCAATTGACTTTCTACAAAGGTCCAAAAAATACTAAATAGGAAAATGGACTCCCTTTTCAACAAATGATGCTGGAAAAATGAGATCTCCATTTCCAGAGGAATGAAATAGGATCCATACACCTCACCCCATGCATAAAAAGGAACCTAAAGTGGATTCACTCAAAACCTCACTGCCAACAGCTCAATGCTGACTCATTGTGACCCTACGGAACAGGGCAGAACCATCTCTGTGAGTGTCCAAAACTTTACCTGTTTATGGGAGTAGAAGGCCTCTTCTTTCTCCAGAGTTGCAGAGTTGCTGGTGGTTTTGAACTGCTGAACTTGCGGCTCACAGTCCAACACATAAGCACTCTGCCACCAGAGTTCTAAATGTAATTCTATAACTATCAGGATTATCAATAAAAATTGGGACAAGTTTAAGGGCTCTATTGCAGGGCATACTTGAACTACCAAATAGAATAAAGGAAGCACACACATCAAATATAATACAGTGGAAGACAAAATAGATGAATGGATCCTATTAAAAATAAAACACTATAAATAAATAAACACATGAGCACCTCAAAAGACTTCATTAAAAGATTAAAATGAGAGCCCACTGATTGGGTAAAAAAAATCTGTAACAATGACATAACAGACAAGGGACTCATTACTAAAATCTACAGAATTCTGAAACACTTCCATAAGTACAAAAAATCAATTAAAATGTGGGGAAAGGACATGAACAGACAATTCACAAACGATGACCCTTGAATGGCTAGCAAACACATGAGGAAATGCTCTGGATCACTAGCATGCCAGGAGATACAGCCCAAAACAATGATGAAATATCATCTCACACCCGCAATGATAGCCCAATTAAAACAAAATGGCAACAAAAACAAAAAACAAAGAATAATAAATGCTGGTGAGGGTGAAGAGCGATTAGAACTTTTAGACAATGCTGGTGGGTTTGAAACTATGTACAACCACTGTAGAAAGTAGTATGACACCACCTAAACAACTGGGGAAAGAAATACCGTACAACTCAGCCCTACCTTTGCTGGGCATCTACTCCAAATAAATGATACAGATCACCCTCAGATCTATGCAATCCATTACAGCACAGTTCACAATAGCAAGACGCTGGAAACAGACCAAATGCCCATTAGTAGAAGAATGGATAAAGAAACTCTGGTACATACATACAATGGAATACTATGCATCACCATGAAAGCATATCATAACATGGATGGATCTGAAAATCATTATGTTAAGTGATTTTAGTCAGCCACAAAAGAACAAACACTGTATCCAATACTATAAGGATTAAGCACAAGATGTAGGCAGGCTTCTGTTCCTAGGTCATGTAATCTTCTAATTCAGTCTCCTAAGCAACCAGGCAGAGAACCTGCCTAGTGTCCATGAACCATTAATCACCCCGTCTACATGTACATCTTCAAAACTACTTCGAGAAAGGAGACCTCACTTCAGCTGGGATCAGTTTTTCAAGAAGAGGGAAGAGGGAAATGACCATTTAGTCGCTGCCATACAAAACGGTGCTAAGGTCACCCCAAATCAACAGACACTCCTACCAAAGAGATAAGCAAACCGTACTGCCAATTCAAGCCAAGATGGGGGAAGAGGCCATGCACATTTCAGAGAGGCAATGACATTTCTGTTGGCCAGAAAACGGGAGGAGCAATCTCCATGCTGGTACTAAGTTCCTAATCAGACACTTTGACCTAGTTTCTATCCAGCCTTTGGTGATCCGGCCAACTGCTATAGACTAAGAGGACTTTAGGCCCTGTTATTTTGAGGCTCACATCCTTCACAGACCACACCAAAAGGATTAGATATAGGAACCCCACTAGGTGAACTAGGCTTTACCT